CAACTGATCTCTTGAAGATGCATAACATTAAACTTACTTTGTCACTCATTAAATGTAATTTCATTTCGGGACGAAGAAGATCGAAAATTGGAAGAAGAGCTTGCATTGCTGATGCAACGTTTGAGTGTTCGTCGATTCATTTCTCTCATTATATTTCTTATCAGTATTAGTATTCTTGTTATTATGATTACTAATATCAGACATTCTTATAGTTTAGGGACGGAAGAAAATCAGTGACATAGCTAAATGATGATGTTAAAGAGCAAAAATGCCCACAGTTAATATTTCCATTCATATCGTTATTCTAATCAGTTTCAATACAATCAAACTAATAGGGAATGGTTGAGTGGTTAGCAGATGAATTATTGTCAATGATTAGTTCTGAATTGAATTGTTAGTTAAACTGATTTGCGTGGTGCTAATTACGAGTTTAATAAGAATATATGAAGAATGAATGAATGCTGAATGCTGTTGATTCGGACAGGAAGAAGACGAAGCTGTGTACGGAGCATCACTGCAAAGAATGCGTGACTTGATAAGAGATTCCACCAGATCGATGAGTTCAATACCAAAACCTTTGAAACTGATGAAGCAACATTACAACAAACTAAAACAAATACACAATCGAATCAAAGATGACGCAGTGAAGGTGACCTCTGTCTATCATCTTATTGTATAAGTAAATAAGACATCGCGATAAATCACTGTGACGTTTACCTGTCAGTGGCGGAGGAAGAGTCTTGAAAAAGTTGTTGTCAAAAGGTCAGTTGCCCGAATAAACGAAGAACAGGAATTGAGCAATGTCACATGTGATTAACGTGTAGAATACGATGAGTATTTATTGATACTTTAATTTAAGAGATTATGTGCGGATATCATATCGGTACTAGCAACGACTTGCGACGATAAAAATGACTGTTTGTGCTATCGTTTCATGGGTTTGCATCCAGCGATCGACGATTGAGGACATGAACATGTTAGGCGTGATTTATTGGTCTCATTTTCTATGCACAAAACCCTCTGAGCCACCAGTGAATTGTTATATTGAAATGTTTGATGTTCGCAAATTGACCAGGCTGAAGATGCCGTCCGTCATAATAGCCGAATTACACAGTGGATGGCAGATGTCCTTTTCGCTAACTGTTGACTGCTGAGAACGAAATTTTATCGAGCCGTTAATCTAGTCAATGATATATATGATAAGTACTGTTTTTCCAACTAACGGTAATGCTCAGTTCGAATGGATACGGTTATGAAATGGGGTTATGAATAACGAGAAAATGGGTTGACGAGTTATAAACAGATTGATGGGTAACAAGTGGGTAGCAGGATGTTTTTAACGAACGAGTAGAATAATACGTGAATGGTTTATCAGTCAATGAAGGAGTTTTATTTTGTGTAAAACTGAGTGCACGATGAGTTGAATTTAAACGATAATCCACAAAAATAGATCTCCTGTTGAGCAACGGGTGGGCTGATAGATAGATAAAACGATAATAATTTCAGACATTTATCGATGCAAATAAGAGACGAGTGGCGGTTGTGCTCATCGCCGTCATTAGCATCAAGAGATTCGGATAAGCGGAAAGATGATTTACTGAAGTTGGTGAGGGAGATAGTCGGTCATAACATGAAATACAATGCAGAAATTGAAGCGTGTGATTTGCTGATTGAGATTGAACGATTGGATGTGCTCTCGGAATTTGTTCATTGTGATGATCATGCTCGTGTTTGTCTTTATCTCATCAGGTATTTTTTCATGTGAACATTTGCTGCTAATGACAAAATGACAAATGAGTTGGACACTCGCAGCCAGTGCCGAAACAGTTCTGTTTATAGAGTGCTTCTCGCCCTCTTGTGCTTTATTCGTGTGGTAACGGCGATTCCCCTTCTCTGGAAGGCTTTCAGTTCTAAGTGACATATTCAGAAGAAAATCAATAAACTGACGATTGGTCGCGAAACTTGCTGCCCAAAACTCGCCAGTTATATCGCAGAAATCAGTTCATCATGTTCAAGCAATCACTTTGTAAACATCATAAAACAATTGCAAAAGAACCACGGATTAAAATCAGTCAATAATGATTTATCAACCCTCTCTGTCATCTTCAAATTTTCATCCAGGAGAGATTTCCCTGTGTGAGAACTATTTGTCAATGCGTTCATTTACAATTGCCTTTTCAAACTGCCCAATACAATCTACAGTAAGCACAGTACCACGAGCAA